TCTATCTATCTATCTATCTATCTATCTATCAATCATCTATCTATCACCTCTTTTTTTCTTTTTGGAAAATCCTAACTAGTTTATTGGGCTTGCTAACAGAGCATAGTTTTACAGAAGAGTGTCCTCCCCCTACCCCCCCCCCCGCCATTTATAGCTGTGCTGGAAAGTCCACACTCATATCTATATATTTTTAAGCCTTAATGTCTAGTTTAGCAAAATTGACCTTTGTTACATCTGCTTTTGCATTTAGTCTGTGGTACTACTATGCTCTATATAGTTATAAACCACCTGTAAACTTGTGAGAAAGTGCTAGTAAAAATGGTGAATGATGTTAGGGTTTTTTTTTTTTTTTTTTTAAATGAAATGGTTTTGACTATGAGAACTTCCAGACCCCATGGATATATTTTGGATCTTTGAGAAACAATTATAATAATCTTTTGAAACATAGGGTATTTCAGAAAGGCATTTTCTCTAGACTCAAGAGGGCAATCATTTTGTATATTGAAGTAGATTTCTTTATGTCTTTTTTGTACAAACACACACACACACTTACCCGCCTCCTTTAGTTCATTCACTGCTAATGTACCCCTTTTGTCAACAATTAAATCCTACTGTATCATAAGCATAATAAAGCTTTGTGCATTAATATAGTCCTAAGTTTTTTTAAATTTTTTATGTTACTCTAAATACTTCTTTTTTAGATGAAAATAAGAAAAAATATTTCTGAAATCCGGGAACTTGAGAATATAGAAGAACACCAGTCTGTAGATATTGCAACCTTGGTAAAATGCTTTCTTCAATTTCAATGTTATGGATGAAACGAATTTCGTTTAATGACTGTCAGATCTCACTTTTTAAAAACATCCGTAATTGTAATTATTCTCTATGATTATTACTTCCATTTATAAATACATGCTACTTGAAGTATAGCCTTCATAATTCTTAACATTTTATGTATCTAACTTGCATGTGTAATTGACATTATCAAACCTTTACTTGTGCTTCTAAACAATGGCCTATTAAAAACAACCTGTTGTGCATAATGTTATATTTTTCTTTCAGATAATCACTTTCAGAGTTAAGTGCTATCTGTATGAGTTTTGAACTATCAGGACTACCTTATAGTCAGAGTTTATTATGTTTTAATTAATTAATTAATTTAATGTGTGTGTGCATTTATGGGGAGGTTAGAGGACAATGTTCAGGAGTTACTTTTTTTCTACTTTCACACCATGTGGGTCCTAAGGATTGAACTCAGGTTGTCAGATTTGGCAGCAAATACGTTTACCCACTGAGCCATCTCTCCAGCCAGAGAATTAATCTTTTTGTATTTCTTTTTTACAAGTTAATGGTTTTCATCTTAATTTTCCTATATTTTAAGGTTTTTCTTTCCTTTCCTTTTTTTTTTTTTTGTTTGCTTTTTAATTGTCTTTTTGAGACAGGGTCTCCCTGTAGCATCAGCTGACCTGGAACTTGTATGGATTAGGCTGGCTTCGATCTCACAGAGATTCTCTTTGCCTCTGCTTCCTGAATGTTGGGACTAAAGGTGTATATCACCATGCCCTATTTATTTTAAGTTTTTTAGCCATATCTGTTTATGACACGCAGCTTAGTGTTTTCTGAAGTATAAGAAATAATAGGATATTGCAAGTTTTATAAAAAATGGATGACTGTTTATTAGGTATCTTCTCTGTATCCTGTAGCATATTAAATGCTAAGGAATAAGCAGTGAATGGAACAGGAATAAAACCTGTGATGACAAAACAGTTTGTTTATTCAGCATGGTTGAGTTTTGCTAGTACTCTTTTTTTGTAACTATTTATGTTTATCGATAAACTACCTTTTGTTAAAGGGATTTCATATCTTAAAATTTTATTTACTTAGCACCTACCACACTGTCACTAAATACATGATGATTTTATGTAAGTGTATTGTGAAAACAAGCTAATAGATGGGATACGTACATTTTTATTGTTGATTGTGATTTCAAGCAGAATGTTGTTTTACCTGCCTGTTAAATGTCATTCCTTCTTTTGAACTTTTTTCTCCTGCTTTCTAATTTGCTATTTAAAGTATGAAACTATTCTAGTATTTTTGTGTTTATCTTAAATCTGATTTGTCTGTAGCCCTTTCTCAGAATTGTTTGTATTTTGTCTTTTTGTTTAATTATGCTCTTTAAATGTTATCAGGAAGATGAAGCTGAAGAAAATAAAATAAAGATGCAAATGGTTGAGAAAAATATGGAGCAACAAAAAGCAAACATGGAAAACCTTAAAAGTCTAAAAATAGAAGCAGAAAACAAGTATGATGCAATTAAATTGAAAATTAATCAGCTGTCTGATCTAGCAGATCCACTTAAGGTATATATACATATATATCCTTACTCTGTATCTTTTATCCTATAGCTTAATATCCATAATACTCAATGGGTCTTTCCTTAAAGGAATCACTAGTTGGATGTAAATGTAAACACATAAATTGTTAAATTAGATCAATTAATACTAAATACTTCTGCTCTTTCCTTTAGGAAAATAAAGCACTAGATTTGTGTCTCCCCCAAAGAACTATAGCCTTTATTGTTTCTTTATTCTATTTTCATTCCTAGGAGCAGAATTGGGACAGCATAACCATATATTCTGTTTCTGTGCCTCTCTGTTCTCTTGTTCTAGTGTCCCTTCAGTTACTCTCGGATTAGTTGCTATAAAAGCCAGGTTGACCTAAAGTGTTATCCAACTCTTGTATACAGCTTAACACAGTTAGATTCCATCCTGATTTTTTTTTGAGACAAAGGCTTACCATGTAGCCCAGACTGACCTTGAACCCAACAGACAATCTGCCTGCCTCTGCCTGCTCAGTACTGCAATTAAAAGTGTGTGCCACTATGCCCTGTTCCAGGAATTTTATTTATTTATTTTTGAGACAGGGTTTCCCTGTAGCCCCAGCTCACCTGGAACTCCCTGTGTAGACCAGATCTCACAGAAATCTGCCTGCTTTTGCCTCCCAAGTACTTGGTTGAAAGCTGTGTACTACCATACCTGGCTATCTTTATTTTTAGTGTATACTTTTTGTGACTAAATTATGGAAAAAAATTGAACCATTAGGCTATAAATTTCATGCCTTGCTTGGTAGCTTCGTTATCCTGTACTTCATTGTCATTACCATTTCAATGAATAACTCAGCCATTTCCAGAACTTGAAATTTTACTGACAAAACTCAGTTCATTGATATAATTAGTTGATAACTAGGAATGTAAAAATGTGACAATTTAAGTAGAAGAAAACCTTAAAAATAATATTGATGAAGATAAATGAGAGACTGGGTCCTATAGAAAATAAGCATTTAAAGTATAAAAACCCCAGGGCTGGAGAGATGACTCAGTGTTTAAGAGCACTGACTGCTCTTGCAAGAACCCGAGTTTGAACTCCAGCACCCACATGGAGACTAACAGTCATCTGTAACTCCAGTTCCAGAGAACCTGATGCCCTTTTCTGACCTCCCTGGGTATTGCGTGACACAAGTGTATGTATATACATGCAGGCAATGCACTCATCGCATTAAAAAAATAATAATAATAAACATTAACAATGAAAAATAAGACAAAGTATTTTGTTTTAAAATAAGATAAGGAATGAAATAAGTAAATGTCAGAAATTTGAAAAACGGAGAAGTAGAATTTTGGTTTCAGGAATTAATGACAGTGAAAGTATAATAAATGTAAAATTTTTTAAAAATCTCACAGATAAAGAATTGAACAGGGTACTAATATACTAACAATTCTGGGCTAAAACAGAATAAAAGAAAAAAGATTAGCTTATAAATTATTTACCCAGGAAACTTAAAATCAAGAAAGAATGAGGAGCAAGCTGTGTTTTGATCCTGTTTTCTTAATTCTTGTTTTCACTGTGTCACTGGGGACAAATTAAGGGCCTCAGCTATTAGAGGCAAGCACTATACCACTGCACCTCCCCTCTCTGCTTGTTCTTTTATAGATCTCTAAGCTCAAGCAACCTCTGGATTTAGGAGTTCATAAATAAGTTTAGGCAGAAACTGGGTAAAAGGTAATAATCTTGATCTTAGCTCTTTGCCTTGGCTGTAAAATCATTGAAAGGTAGGAGCTGAGTCCTTCAGTAAATCTGCCTGCAATCAGGTAGTAGTAGCTTGAATGCTACATTAGCTGTGAATAACAACAAAATCAAGAGAGGTTTGCTAGTGATATAATTTAATTACTAAGAATTTGCTGCCGTGATATGCTACCAGCTGCCATATACAATCTGCTTGTCAATAGGAGTCTTACTCAGTTTGTTTTAGAGGGGTAGTGGTGTCAGTAATTGAAACCTTGGCATAGGGATTTTTTTTTTTTTTTTTACATTGGAAAGCTTATTTTGATTGATGCTTACAAGCTTAAGTGCTTTTGTTGACAATTTCATTGGACGGAGAATGAGACCCACATTGATTTTTGTAAATGTAAATGGTTTACATTAGTAGGAAAGCCTCTTGACTTTCTCATATGAATAGAATTAGTGTGAATCAAGGATGACTATGCCTTTTATGTTTTATACAGTTTTTCAAAACTTCATACTATAGGTTTATGTAAAGCAATTCATATTGTAGCTGTTTTTCTAATGTTCCCAGGTAATTAAATTTCGTTATTTAAGCATCCTACAAATAAACTTTCCACTGATTTTTGTCCCTTCTAGCATCTCAGTCTATTATTTAAAGGCTGTAGCTTCTTTAAACTTAGGAACTCTGTGTTTCGGGCTACATTAAGATTGAAACTGTGACTTCACTTGTGGAGACTGTCACTAAGTGTCTTTTTTTGGCCTTTTTGAGACAGGGTCTCTCTAGCCCCAGCTGGTCTGAACTCACTGTTTAGACCAGGCTGGCCTCAAATTCAGAGAATTGCCTGCCTCTGCCTCTTGAGTGCTAAGATTACAGGTGTGTGTTATCACGCCTGGCTACTAAGTGTCTTTTAATGTCTGTAGATCATATTGTGACCATTAAAATGAAATTATGTGAAATATTCTTTGGTTTCTTTTAGTTTTAAATTTTATGGTACCTAGGCTACAACTACAGCTACATTATTAAATATATAAAGCTAAAACAACCACATTGAATTTGGACAAAGGAATTTTTTTTTTTCTTTTTAGAACATGGTGTCCCTGTAGCCACAGCTGGCTTGGAACTTGCTGTATAAACCAGGCTGGCTCAATCTCCCAGAGATTCACCTGCCTCTGCTTCCTGAGTGCTAGGATTAAAGGTATGGACCATTATCCCCAGCTGGACAAAGGAAATGTTAGCCGGGCATGATGGTGCACGCCTTTAATCCCAGAATTTGGGAGGCAGAGGCAGGTGGATCTCTGTAAGTTCAAGGCCAGCCTGGTCTGCATAGTGAGTTCCAGACCAGTTGGGGTTACAGGGAGACCTTGTCTCAAAAAGACCCCCCCACACACAAAAAAAAAGTTTTTAATTTTTATTATTTTTATTTTATGTGTATGAGTGTTTTGCCTGCATGTGTATGTGCACCACATGCCTGCAGTGCTTACAGAGGCCAGAAGAGGGCATCCAGTCTCCCAGAACTGGACAGTTTTAACCTACCATATGGGTGGTGGGAACTGAACCCAGGTCCTGTGAGAAGAGAACAGCAAGTGCTCTTAACCACTGAGCCATCTCTTCAGTCCCCATAAAGTAGTAGTAACATTTTTTTCCCATTTAGTCTTTTTAAAAAGTCAAGTGATTCTCATTTCAAAGTTTCTCAGTGGGGGGCAAAAAAAAAAAACCAGCCTCAGTGTGTTCTGATTTAACTACTTTGCTTCTGTAATATGTATGTTATTCCCTAAAGAAAAATATGCCAATTTATTTTGATAATGTTATTAATGATTATGATTATTTGAAACTTATTCTTTGTTCATTCTCTTTATTTACTTTCAGTTTCTAATTGCATTTATTTCCTATTACATATGCTATGCCTAGTTTTTATTTCTGTTGAAAGTAAGAAATAATCTGATTCCATTTTCTTTTTTTAAAAAAATATTTTATTTATTATTTTTATTTTATGGGCATGAGTGGATTGCCTGCATGTGTGTAAGTACACCTATGTTGTACACACCTGGAGGTCAGAAGAGGGCATCGGATCCACGGGAACTGGAGTTACAGTTGTTAGCTGCCATGTGGGAGCTGGGAACTGAACCTGGGACCTCTGCAAGAGCACCCAGTACTCTTAATCATTGAGCCATCTCTCCAGTCCCTGACTCCATTTTCTTTACTAGAACCTTTTTTTTTTTTTTTAGAACTCTTATAAAAGTTGCATATGATCAGCTCTCCTATATGATATGAATAAGATGCAATATGAATAAGGTGTATTGTTTTGTCAGTTACTGAAATGCTGTGGATCCTCTTGTATGAGTTAAATATTTTGAGATTTTTTTTTTTTAGATTCTTCACAAATTATTCTCCTTTTCTGGATATTCCTACTCTTTTGGTTCTTTTAATTTTGGTTTCTTTTCCTGTAGCAGTGATGTTTTTGTTTGTTTTGAAACAGTTGAAATTTATTAAATATATTTTAATGTAGTCCTAAGTACGAGGGTTAAGAGGAAGAGAAGCACACAGAGAGAAAGATAAGAGTTGCTAGAAACTTAGGATTCTTGAAGCTGAGGATCACTATCATATATGACCAGTGCTAGGATCAAAAAACAAATGATCAAACCAGAACTTAATTTGGTAGTTTTAAGTCAGAAACCTTTTAAAGTACTTTTTGTTGAGATAATTCCAATATACTAAATACTCATTTGTGTGTAATTTGATGTGTTTTGATAACTATAAACATTTGAAACTCTCCCAAATGAGAAAATAGAACATAATGCTTTCTCTTGAGTTAGTTCATGCCCCTTTTAACTTTTTCCTGTCCTACTCCTTCTTGTTTTTAGGCAACTACCACTTTGTTTTCTGTTACTGTAGTTGGTACCTTTTCTAGAGCTGCATGCATTTAGATTGCCCATTATTCACAGTTTCACTTCATGTAGTTTCAGTTACCCAAGACCAATCATAATCCAAAAAGGTATTTTAATCTTGAATCTCTTGAGAGTGACTGTATTCATGCACTGTGCTAACTTTTATCCCAGCATATGGGTATTACTCTGTTTTATTGGTAGTAATTGTTACTCTGTTACTGTACCAAATTTATAAATACAATTTTATCATAGGGAAACATAATATATAATACTTAGTATCTGTGGGATCACAGAATGTGATCTGTCATAGTTTTATTTATTTATTTATTTATTTATTTATTTATTTATTTATTTTTGAGTCTTCTTGAGACAGGGTCTCCCTGTAGCCATAACATTTTAAATATGTGAGGACTGTAGAGGTGGCTCAGCAGTTAAGAATGCTCCTCTTGAATAGAACCTGGGTTTAGGGCCCAATACCCAGACCAGGCAGTTCATAACCTCTTGTAATTTTAGTTCCAGAAAATCCGACATCCTCTTTTTGCCTCCATGGGCACCACGTTCACAGTTCATGCACTTGCAGGTACTCAGACAGAAAATAAAAATAAAATTTTTTAAAGGTTTAAATGTGTGATTTGTTTTAAATTTTTGGAACCTTCTCACCTCTCTTTAGTTACATATGAACATGAACCTTAGCACTTGCCTCTTTGGGTAGAAAGATCTTGCTAACTTATTGTTAATTTTGTAGCTGGGCTAAAGGGTTTTTTTTGTCTGTTGTTGTTTTGGTTTTATTTTGTTGGTTTTTTTTTTTTTTTTTTTTTTTTTGATGTGTATGAGAGGCAGGGAGGGAAGAAGCCAGAAGTTGACATCAGGTGTCTTCTTTAGTTGATCTTCACCTTATTTTCTGAAACAGAATCTTTCACTAGAACCTGGAGCTCACTGGTTTGACTAGACTGGCTGGCCAGCAAGCTCCAGGGATCCTTCATTCTCTGATTCCCTGCTGCTGGAATTACAAGTATGTGCTGCTGTACCCAAGGTTTTAGATGGGTTCTGTTGATCTGGACTCAGTTCTCATGCTTACAAGGCAGGTATTTTATGGACTGAGCCAAAAACAAAAAGCAAGCTAAAGTCTCACCCCCTTTCCTTAAAAATGGTCCTTTTTAAGTAGATTATTTTGGCTTTGTTGAAACAGGATGAATTAAATCTTGCTGACTCTGAAGTGGATAGCCAGAAACGAGGAAAGCAGCATTATGAAGATAAGCAAAAAGAGCATTTGGACACCTTAAATAAAAAGAGGCGCGAACTGGACATGAAAGAAAAGGAGCTACAGGTTTTTCACCATTAAATAATTCTTTAAAAATCATTTTGTCTGCAGCCATAGTCATTAAAGTGTGTTTTCTTTTTTTAAATTTTAGTTTTTAAATTAGCTTACAAAGTAAGAGGTGTCCATATGGGGTTCTCATACATGTTGGTTGTTGTTGCTCTTGACTCTCCCTTTCATCTTGTTCTCCCTTATCTTCCTGCCTCCCTTCCCCCACTGTATCCTTTCATTTTGGCTATACCCCATTTCCACTTTGCTTTCTTATCTTTCCCACTTCTCATCTACGGAGCCTCTTTTTTTTTAACGGCATGTTTTCAGAAATGGACGAATTGTCTGAATTTCTGTTTCCTACAGGCCTAACAGGTATTTGGTGAATTGACAGAAGAGAATTAGTATTTCTCAAAATGTAAGGTCTTAATAAGGCTAGACCATCCACATTGTGTCTCAGTGGCTAAGAAAATGGCTCTCTCAGCTGGTATGCCTCCTTAAGTACATGGTTTGATAAATGTATAGCCACTGTGTGTCAGGAAAAGACACCTTGTCTCAGAAGACCTAGGCAGGATCTCAATTCCTGCCACTGTGCCTGTTGACAGCCAAGCTGTTGACAGCTCTTTAATTTAGAGAATACGTTAAAGGCAATCCTGTTGTATCAAGAAGGATACTTTTTCTTAAAGGGTGATGATTCTTAACTCTTGTGTCCTCAATATAAAAAGACTTATGGGCCGGAGAGATGGCTCAGCACTTAGAGTCAATACTGCTCTTTCAGAAGACCCAAGCTTAGTTCCCAGCACTCATAATCATTTGGTTTTACAACTGCCTGCAACCCCAGCTCCAGGGTAAAGCAGTGTCTTTGGCCTCCACTGGCACCTGTACCCACATACATATACCTACACGCATACACATAATAAGTCTTTAAAAACTCTATTAAATGGAAATAATATAAGTACAGAATTTTTCTTTACATATTGCACAATTAGTATGAGTTATATCAGGGAAGAGTTATAAGATTTAAATATCTATTTCCTTAGGAGAAAATGTCACAAGCAAGACAGATCTGCCCAGAACGAATAGAAGTGAAAAAATCTGCATCAATTCTAGACAAAGAAATTAATCGATTAAGACAAAAAATACAGGCAGAACATGCTAGTCATGGAGATCGGGAGGAAATAATGAAGTAAGTGGTCATTAACTTTTCTACTTTATTATCCATGCATATTACTAAGACACCAAAATGTTTATATGTAAATCTTTTAATTTGTATGAAGTGTTCCTGTTAGTAGATATTTGTACTGAATTAGTCCTTTAAATGTGTGTTATTAACAAGAAACAGTAACTTCCGAATTACTAAATTATGGAATGACATTTTAACATGTGTACTTTATAACACTCATATGGACAGGAAAATTCTCAGCTTCACAAGTAATCAAGAAATGCAAGTCAGCATAATTAGAAGCCATTTTCCAAATGCATGAAAATGAATACATTGAAAAAAAAATCACTAATATTCCAGGTCAGTGAGGTTTCAGTGAAATGGACATTTTTACATTACTGATAAAAAGAAAGGTTCCAAAAGAAATAGAGTACTTTTTCTTTTAAAAAATAAAGTGTCTCAAAAAAAATAAATAAAGTGTCTCAGATTGAGTTCAGTTTTGATGTTTACTTATATGACTTTGGCAATCATCTAATCTCCTTTAGCCTTAATGTTTTCATTTATTGTAATGATACAATTATGATAACTTAGACTGTTAGGAAGATTAAATGATAAAATCTTTAACAAATGGAATGTAGATGAAGCATAGCATATTGTTATTAAAATTCTTCTGAAAAGCATTTAAGCAGTATGTATCAAAATATAGAATATTTGTTGAAATTTCAATTCAATCTGTCCTTTCATATTGTAATATAATCTAAAATGAGAAAATACAGTTAAACTGCTTCTAGGCACCATTTAGGCACACTTAAAAACAGTGTGGTTCTAAATGGTAAAAGTACAATGAAAAAATTATAGCTTTTCTACAAAAACCTTTTTGTATTACAAAAGGTAGAGAAGGAGCTTGACAAGATGACTCAGCAAGTTAAGGCCCTTGCTGTCAAGCCTGATGACCTGAGTTCAGTTCCTAGGACCCACATGGTAGAAGGAGGGAAGTTGTCCCCCAACTTCAATATAAATAAGTGGTGGAGTGAGTTGTTGTTGTTTTAAGGCTAAGGAAACAAGTGATTTCAGTTTCATTTTCTTTTTTTTTTTGCTTTTAGTCTTTTGGAGACAGGGTATCCATGTAGTCCCAGCTGGCCTGGAACTCTATTTGTAGACCAGGCTGGCCTTGAATTTACAGATCTCCACCTGCCTCCATCTCCTGAATGCTGGGGTCAAAAGTGTGCTTCACTACGCCCAACTTCAGTTTCATTTTCAAAACACTAGAGAAGTTGTTTCTTTTTTTAATAGGTAGCACATCACACATTAAAAATTCTAAACTGAGCTGGGCATGGGAGTGCACGCCTTTTGTCCCAGCACTTGGGAGGCAGAGGGAGGCAGATCTCTGTGAGCTTGAGGCCAGCCTGGTCAACATGGTGAGTTATAGGCCAGCTGGGGCTACAGTGAGGAAAATTTTTTGTAAATTCTACACTGGGCTATAGAGACATGGCTCAGTGTTTAAGAACACTAGCTGCTATTACAGAGGTTAGAGAACCTGAGTTTGGTTCCCAACACTCATATGGTAGTTAACAACTGTCTGCTACTCCAGTTCCACGAGATCCAACACCCTTTTCTGGTTTCCACAGGCATTGTAAAACACAGGTGCACTTACATGCAGGCAAAACTCTCACACACATAAAAATAAATTTTAAAAAATAAAAATAGATCTTAATTTTTTTTTTAATTTTTAAAAAAATTTTATGTGTGTGAGTGTTGATAACCTCTGTGTAAATGATGGGAACTAAACCTGAGTCCTCTGTAAGAGCAGTCACTGCTCTTAACCACCCATCTCTAGCCCCCTTAGAAAATTTTAAACTACGTTATTTGACTGGGGACGTCACATAGCACTAGAGCACTTGCCTAGCATACCTAAGGCCCAGGGTTTGCTATCCAGTACTGCCAAATTATGGCTGGGGGGATGGCTCAGTGTAAAGTTTTTGCTGTGTAAGCATGTGGGCCTGAACTTGGATCCCTAACACCTATGTAAAAAAAACAAAACAAAAAAAAGGCACGGTGATGCCTCTCTGAAACCTCAGTTCTGGGGTGTAGTTGAGACAGGTGGGTCCCCAAAACTTGCTGAGCACCCAGTCTAGCCAAACTAGTCAGCTTCAAGTTCAGTCAGTGAGAGACCTCCCAAAATAATTTGGAGAGCAATGGAGAAAAATATCTGGCCTTGACCTCTGGTTATGCGTGCGTGCATGCGCGCACGCACACTTATTCTCATGTACCACACACAGAAAAAAATGAATAGTATTACTAATATTTTTATTGACATTACAATTGTGCTGTTTCTGGGACATAATGTGGTATTTTGATGTATATGCAATTTCACACGATTGAGTGAAGTTAATAATACAAAAAAGGAGACAGTTGAAGGTTTCACCTCGTTTCTGTTTTCATTCTCAAGACTTTCTTTCCTTGTTTAAAATTTATTATTATTATTTGTCTTTCTTGTTTCTGCTATTTCCAGTAGTGCATTTTCCATTTTTTTGTTACCTCGTGCATTTTCTTCTCATTTGCCTTCAGACTGTGGATGCTCTTTTTTTTTTTTTTTTGGTCTTTTGAGACAGGGTCTCCCTGTAGCTCCAGCTGTCCTGGAACTCACTATGTAGATCAAGCTGGCCTTGTACTCATAGAGATCTGCCTACCTCTGCCTCCCAAGTGCTGGGACTAAAGGTGTGCACCACCACGCCCAGCCTGTTCTCTTTTTTTAAATTGCTTTTTCCCTTATCTGCTGAGTCATCTCACCAGCCTTTACAGTACTTTTTTCATAAATGTTTGTGTGGGTGCTGTACTTGTCTTTTGTTACTTGTTTTTAATTAGACTGTCTTACAATGCTTATTTGAAGGAGGATGAGGGATAGCTGTGGATGTCTGAGCCAGGGTTGCCCCCTCCTTCCTTAGGATCTTTTCTGTGCTACAGTATTGGACTGTTGGCTTCTATTGTGACTTCTGAGTAGCCATGCCTTCCTCTCCTCTTTGACCTTATCTTTTTTAGGATGGAGAGAGTCTTAGCTGACCTGGTAACTATCTGCTCCCATGTTGACATCTATTATTGAGGAAATCCTTTCTTCTGATTTGACCTCTTTGCTTTGTATATTTGGTAGTATTTTCTACAATTTGTCACCTCTTAAGTCCCACCTTCGTACTTATGCACATACTTTTTCGGCCTTCTTACCTTTTCTAAAGTTTGGACTTTGTTCTTCACCATACATAGTAGCGTGCTCTCCTGTAACATTCATTCTCTTTGGGGATGTATTTTGACTGAAAATTCATAAAATCAGTTTTTAGGACCCCCTCAACACGACCCTCTCTGTTCTCTAGTTAAAATATGATATTTTACTTGTGTGCATATACTGTTTATTTAATATTTTCTTCATAAAATAGGCAGTACCAGGAAGCAAGAGAAACCTATCTTGATCTGGATAATAAAGTAAGGACTCTAAGAAGATTCATTAAATTACTAGAAGAAATAATGACTCATAGGTACAAAACATACCAACAGTTTAGAAGGTAAGTACATTTTAAACACATTATTGTCATTTTTTTTGTTGTTTTCACAGTATTCTGTATGAATAATAAATTTTTCAGAGCTTACTCAAGTTATAACAGATACTATGAGTGTGCTCTATCTTTAGCTTTTAGAATTCTATACTTAATCAAAATTCTGATCTGAAGGAACCTTAACAGTGAAGTCATCCAGCTTTTCCATTGTTACATATTCCTTATTTGGTAACTCTCAGATGCTGTTTATTGCCTAAACTCAGTGGTTCTAAAGCAGCTTGTTTCTTTATTGGACATTGCATGGTATTAAGGGTGTATGGGAGGGCCCACTAAGACAGTAGCTCACTTGCTTTACCATGATCTACTAGAATGGCATAGCTCCATGTATGTACAAACTCTGTTTTATTTACTGTAGTAACTCTAAGGTATAACTGTGCTTGAAATGTAACTAGTGCTTAATGTACATTGACTGAATAAATGAGTTCAAGGCCAGCCTAGTCTATATAGCCAGTTCCAGGTCAGCCAGGGTTACAGAGTGAGACCCTATCTCTAATTAAAGTGTACATTAAAAAGTGAAGCTAGGAAGAAGATGTGGACTGTAACAAATAGTGGTCAAATTATGTGCATAAACATTAATGTTTGCATGATTTTTAATGATTAATAAATGATGAATTAAAGCTCTGTCATTTAGGACTGTATTACATGTGATTAGTTCTAAATGTTGTTTGTTTGGGTGTTTTTGATCTTTCTGAGTCAGGGTCTCCTTGCTGTGTCCCAGCTGACCTGTAACTCACTATGTAGATCAGGCTGGCCTCAAATCCACAGAGATCCATCTGCCTCTGCCTCCAAAGTGCTGGGATTAAAGGCATGTGCCACCATGCCCGGCCTTAAATGTTGTTTTTTAAAATTTTTATTTCTGTTTTTTAAATGTATATGAGTATTTTTACCTTTGTGTAAGTGCACCTGTATGTGCAGTGTCCACAGAAGCCAGAAGAGGATGTTGGATCCCCTGGAACTGGAGTTATAGACAGCCACCATGTGAGTGCTGGCAATCAAACCCAGGTCCTCTGTAGGAGCAGCTAGTGCTCTTAACTGCTGAGCCATCTCTCCTCCCTGGAGCCAGGCTTTTTAATATGGGTTCTAGGGATCTAAACTCAGGTCTTAGAATTTGTGTTATAGGCACTTTACCAACTGAGCCATCTCTCCAGCTCTCAAATTCTACAATTTTAAGGCCATGTATAAACAAAAATAAGCCTAACTGTTGTATATGTGAGGAAATGTAGATAAGGTTTAAAATATTTTTTTGTTGGTTTGTGGATGTGGATATGTATGCCTTGGAGTGCATGTGGAGGTCAGTGGGCAATTCGTGAAAGTTAGCTCTCTTCTTTCACCCTGTGGGTCCCACGTTTTGAACTCAGATCATCAGTCTTGGTGGCAAGCACTTTTACCCATCTTGCTGGCCCATAAATGACGGTTTCAAGGAGAAATGTTTGATCTTATTCCTGAACAGTTGTTGAGTTTTTAAAAATACATTTATTTATAATGGATGCAATAATTGTGCATATTTATGGGGTACAGTGTGGCATTTTAATAACATATATACAGTATGCAAAGATCAGATCAGATAATCTCCAACACCCTAGATACTTATCTTTGTGATGGAAACACTCAGAATTGTGTTTTAATTTTTAGGCATATTATTAGTACTTGAATTAAAAGGAATAAGTTTTTGTTGTTTTAGATTGACATTAAAGTTTTGTCAGGTGGGGCTAATGCAGTCTTTCACTGGGAGTTAATTTTTGCTGCCTCTGAGGCAATGTTCTTCAGAGTACTCTCCCAGTACCTTGTGAATCCAGAGGTTTCACTCCAACCCACGAGATCACAAAGCATTCCTGGGTCTTTGTGAGCTTCCTTGGGTCTTCAGCTTCTTTCGGGTGTTTTTGTGGTTCTGCCTCAGATCCAGGTGTCCTTATAAATTTACACTGATCATCAGTCAGCTCCAGGCTAGAGCATAACCCTGGCATGTCCTCTGCAGTGCCATTTCTTTGTCCTCCACTACTCTACTCTGCAGGCTCCAATTGTCTTTTCAAATCACATGCTAGGTTCCATGTAGGTGTCTACTCCCTTTCTCTCATGAGGCATTTATAGGGCCCAGGCCACTTTTTCCATTTTTCAGAGGTTATTTTGACTGATACTGCCTTTGCTACCTGAATCTGGAAACTCTTCATATATTTTGTCTAGGTTTCTAGGAAGTTTAGAAAAATTAAATACAGTTTCTATTTATATATGTGTTTTCCATATATAATAGAGCTTTTTAAAAATCAGTATCATTTTCTGTCATTACAGTTACCCAGAAACTGGCATTTTAAAAGTTCCTTGTCAAATTGCTGCTTTATTGGGTGTGTGTCTTGGGTTCTTTTTGTGTTGTTGTGGTACAATACTCTGAAAAAAGCAATTTAAGAAAGAAGGGGTTTATTTCAGCTCAGAGTTCAAGGTACTGCCATAATGGTGGGAAGTCAAGGCAGGTGTTATATCCACAGTGAAGAAGCAGACAGCAAAGCATGAATACATGCTGTCAGGGCCCTTTCCTACATCTTAGGCACTTTTGTTCAGGGAATGGTCCTACCCACTTGTAGGCTGGTCTTTTCACCTCAATTCAATTAAGATAATCACTGACAGGCATGCCCAGAGAGCCATTCTAGATGGTTCTAGATTGTTGACAACACTAACCATCACAGTGCATTACCTTGCTATGAGGCTTTGGCACTGTCCTGTGTTATATTGTTGATCTAATTGTAGAATGAGAATGAAAAGGTACAACTTGTTAGAATCATTTATCTCTCCACTCTGGAGAACCTTCCCATTTTAAGAGTCTGTGGTAGACATCCTGTGAATGGAAGCAATTGATACATTTGAGAATAGAAAAAAGTTAATAGGGAGTTCTGGAATCCAATTAGCAGTTATGTGGCAGCCAAAGAAAACTCAAACTTCTCTATCTTCTAGTGTAGAAAGTGACAGTTTAGGGTAGGAAATAGGAGAGGGGGAAAAAAAAAAACCATGGTTACTTTGAGGAAGCAAGCCTTAGACTCATTTTAATGAGTAAAGACATTAAGAAAAATAGCCAGTTATTTATTACCTAGACCTTATTTTCTAAATACTAGTACCCCACTAAATGGAAACAGGATCCCATGAAGAAATAAATGACTGATACCAGATCTGGGCAAAGAAGGTACAGGTGAGTCTTATGGTAGACTGGAAGGAAATGCACCATCTCCCCTCAGTGATGATAACAGGATTTAGGGGACAGCTTTAAAGAGGCTGCCATTTGCTAAATCTGGGCAATCTGAAGATCACAATAAAGCATTAATGGCATGGATAAGATAAAAATCTCAACTCCATCTGCATAAATAGAGTAGATAAGTAAATAAAGAATTGAAAGCTGGGAGGATATCTCAGTTGATAAAACGGCTTGCTGTGCATCTGAGGGTTTGTCCACATGCCTATGGTATCCACAGAGACTAGATGTATTGGATCTTGCTGGAGTTAACACGCAGTTGTAAGCCACCTGTGTAGGTGCTGGGAACTGAACTCTGTTCCTCTGGAAGAGCAACATGTGTTCTCCATCTCTTCAGCCCTGTGGCTACCTGAGTTTCATTTCCAGTTTTGTGCTTCACATAAAAACTGGCACAGAAGAACCAGGCTCAGCAGTGCATGTTTATAATCCTATCACTGGGGAGATGGAGACAGGAGGATCCCTGGAGTTCACTGGGCAATGAAAGACCATCTCTAAAAACAAGATGGACAGTACCAAGGAATGCTAGGCAAGGTTGTCCTCTGGCTTTCATATGCACATGTACACACACCCAAAAACATACACAGGGAAGGAAAGGAATTGAAGCGGAAGAAAAAGTTCCTCCTTATAGAACAGTCAAGGGCTGTATAACATGTAGAGAAGGAATGATGGAGCTTATGTTGTACCAACAAGGGATAAAGCATGATATATAGACAGTGATTAAGTGATTGCTCTTAGGTTTTTTGCTACTGCGAAACTGGAAGAGACAGGCAAATAAATAAGATAAATATTTATCTTTGTTGTCAGAGCTTAATCCTTTTAAGAACATTTATGTCTTATATGTTAGAGTAATAAGGATCTGGAGAAATGGCTCAGCAGTTAAAGGCATTGGCTACTCTTGCAGAGGACTTGGGTTCGATTCTGAACACCCACATCCATTCCTCCAGTTCCAGGAGATCAGATGCCCACTTCTGACCTCTACAGACATTGCAGGACATGAGTGAACTTAAACACACATGCAAGCAATACACTCATACTTGTAAAATAAAAATAATAGCGCAATAATGCCTTATAAATTAGTTGGGTGATTACAATATTCATAGGGAATGAGTATTATAATGGGACATATTAAACATGGACTCATACCTTTATTCATTAATAGGTATTACTATAAAAGTAAATGAACTAGTTAAACTCTAAGATAAAAATGTAAGAGAAAAAATCATCGTAAACCCACTTGCTAAATAGACAAGTGTCAGCATTTTGGCATAGTTTTGAACATAGAGTTCTATCTTGTTTTAATGCTCCCAATTTCTTTATTTGAAGGTGTTTGACGTTACGATGCAAATTATACTTTGACAACTTATTATCTCAGCGGGCCTATTGTGGAAAAATGAATTTCGACCACAAGAATGAAACACTTACTATATCAGTAAGTATTTTGACTCTGAAGCTTAATTAGGAAAACTAGTTGTTTCTTTTCTCTTGATGAAACATTGATAAGCCTTAACCTCTTGTCTCTAAAAAAACAGAAGCTTATTTCAAAATTGAAGATGGTCTTTGCTAATATGTTTAACATTAAATTGATCTTAATAAAGCTGGTTGCTTAGTTTATTTTCTGGAAAACCACATCGGTTTTCTTAAAATACTAAGTAGGATTTTATTTTCAGTAGCAAGCGTTTAATCTTGTCCATCCACTCCTGATTTCTTTAAAAATTTTTGCACAGCATCATTCGGATATTATAGAAAGTCCATTGTTTCTAGTCTCACTGTGGGAAAACCAAAGAAGCTTCAGCCCCATAATCTAATTATCAGCATAGGACTTATTTCCAAAGTTGTCCTTAACTTTGTCCTCTTTTGAATAAACAGAGCTATAGTCACCTTTTAGATCTGTGCCTGAGGAGGCATTCAGAGTCATATGTGTACGAGTGTGTGGTGTGGGGATATCACATTGGAGCTTGGGTAGGAAGTTTAAAAAAAACAACCACCCACTTTAAATAATCTGGGGGGCAGATTTTCAAATAATGCCTGCTCACAGTACCACAATTTTATCTTTCCATTTAATATTTACAATAAATGTTAAATATTTGGAATACCTTTATTAGGACCACTACAGTTAAGAAGTTAGTTTTTATCTTCTCTTGTTTAAAATTTCACTGCTAAATCATGGTTAGTATCTATTCACCTACCATTTATTTTTGAGATCCAGTCATTAAAGATCAGATTTGAAAGTACTGGGAGGAATTAGGCTTGTGGTTGGGAGTATCATGATACCCCCCCCCCTTTTTTTTTTGCAAAGTACAAGAAATCCAAGGAAATTACAAAAATTCTATTTTTAAAGACATTGGAAAGCTGTAGAAGCAACAGCAACTAGATGAAATTCCAGGAAGTGGGAGAGTCTGTTCAAAGTAAAGCTAACATTGCCAATGTTTTCTTTCCTGGAGACATTTGCTCATCTTGGAATTTTGGTGACTTAGAGGGTTACTGAGACAGTAGTACTTGGGAAATTTTAGGCACAGGGCTAGTATTTCAGTTAATCAAATCTATCTTTCTTCCTTCCTTCCTTCCTTCCTTCCTTCCTTCCTTCCTTCCTTTCTTTTTTGGCCTTTTTGATACAGGATCTCCTTGTAGCCCCAGCTGGCCTGGAACTCGCTATGTAGATCAGGCTGGCCTCAACCTCACAAAGATCCGCCTGCCTTTGCCTCCCAAGTGGGACTAAAGGCATGCTCCACCATGCCCTGCCTCAGTTAGTTGATTCTTGAGTGCTCTAGAGTTGTGCATGGTGTAGCCAGAAGAACTGGTGTTAATGATAGGTACCTAAGATTTGGAGAATTGCAAATCTACTCCCAGCTCTTTCTCTCCCAGATTGACTTGTCAGTCAGCTTTACCATATGTCTATCTTAATCAAAGGGAAATTTTGTTGTCTACCACCCACCTTTTGGTAGAATTGATTCCAGCCAAAATCAAGAACTTAAAAAAGGCATGTATTATAAAGGAAATCCAATTCTTTTTATTTATAAATAACATATCTGTGCAGAAAATCTCATGGAATCTACCAAATAAGCTTAGAAATAGTTAAATGCAAGCTTACAGACAGCATACCAAAATGAATTATAGTTTATATACTAGCAATAAATGATCAGAAATTGAAATTTTAAAATACCACTTATAACAGCATTAAGATATAAAATACATAGGAATGTGACAAAAAAAGTGTTTAAAGCCTCATAATCTGGAAACCCAAAAGAAATACTAAGAAATTAGTCAAGACCTAAATGAAAAATCCATGGTTTTTGTGGATGAAAAGACTCAGCAAGGTCTACTGAGATGGCTTATTCAGTAAAGTACTTGCTGTGTAGTCATAAGAACCTAAGTTTAGATCAGTAGCATCCATATAAAAAGCCAGGCACCAATCCCTGTGCTAGATAGGCAGACAGGGGAATCCATGAGGTTTACTGGCCAGCCAGTCTAGCTGAATCATTGAGCTCCAGGTGCAGAGAGAGCTCAAAAAAATAGTGATCGAGGAAAACGCCTAGCATTAACTTCTGGCCTGTATACACACACCCTCAGCATATTAAAATTTTAGTTAATCACAGATTTGACCTATAGATTCAACATCATTTGTATCAAAATACCAACAGGGTTTTTTTTTGTAGAAATTAATAAGCTAGTCCTAAAATTTATATGGAAACACAAAGGACTTAAAATAGTTATAATAACTCTGAAAAGGAAGAACAATATTAGAAAACTTACATTAGCTGAATTCAGTAGTTTATATAAAACTTAGATAGTAAAGTAAGCTTCTGTTACGGAGACATTGATATCAATAGGAACGAAATGGAAATGACAAAGGAACACAAGGAAACTTTTAGAAATGATGGATATATTCTTTATCTTCAGTTATGGCTTCACACATAGACACATTTGCTAAAACTTAGTCAAATTGTACATTTTAAATATATGCAGTTTGTTGTAATCTCTTAAAATACTAAAATTTATGACTTTTTTGTGTGTTGGGAGTGATGTGAGTGTGGAGGCCAGGAGAGTACCTGCCAGGAATCAGTTCTCACCTACCATGTGAGTCCCAAGAATCAAATTCAGGTGGTCAAGTTTGGCAGTGCGTGTCTTACCTACTAAGCCATCTTACTGTCCCTATGGTATTTTATTTACACCAAAACTGTAAAAATTACGAGACAAGTGACTAAGAACTAAAAAAAAAAAAAGCAGAAAAGAGAACCAAACTTACAGATGATATTTTTGAGAAATAGTAGATTGGTATTTTACAACTAACATGCTTTTTTTTTTTTTAAAAAAAGTTAACCATAAGGAAAGTATAGTTTCAACACAGAATTGGATTCCAAAGAAACATCAATTCTAAAACTTTATGGAAAAATGTATCTGAAATTAATTACACATTGGTTGACTTAACAGCCAGCTGGATACAATAAAAGTAAATATAACAGAGCTCAAAGTCAAAGAGAAATACCTAAAGTGAGAAACAGAAAACACTGAACAGAGCTGACGAGAGATGGAGGACACAGCACGATAATGTGGATCTAATTGGAGTTTTATAAGAACAAAGAGTGAGCAAAGAACAAGAGAATTTTCAGACCTGCAGTATACTAACACAGGCGAGAAATTCCAGCAAACCACATACTTAAGCACAAGGTAGTCAAATAGCTGAAAACCAGAAACAAATAGTAAAAGTATCACTTTCGAAGGAGCAACAATGAATTAAAGGCAGTCTTTTTTCTCCCCTTTTTTTCGTTCTTTTGAGATGGGATCATCCTATGTTTCCCAGTGTGTTCTCAAATTCATAAAAGTGATCCTCACACCTGAGTCTTCTGAGTGAGTAGCTGAGACTTCAGGTATATAATGCCATACCCAGCTTATGGATGACTTTTAAACAGATTGTTCAAGATAAACCTCATCCAACAGACTTTAAGATGCTAAAGGAATTTTTAAAAACACAACCCTACCATATAGAATTCTGTAGTTAGCAAAACATCTTGGTTTTTAGTCAAATAAGAACTGAAAACATTACTCTTCAGTCTACTTGGTCCACAGAGAGTACTAATAACTGTCTTTAGGTGAAGAAAAAATGATTTGTAAGTGGAAACTTTGAACTGCACAGAAACAGCTCATTGCAAAAAATAAGCCTGAGTAAATATAAACTAGGGCTTTGACTGGTTAAAGCAATAATAATTGTATCTTGAGTAGTTTTTAAGATGTAAAAATATGACAGCACAAAGGGTTAAGAATATATGTAAAATAAAACTTCTAAGATTCACATTTCAGGAAATGATTTTAATTTAAAATAAACACATTAGGGATATATTTTGGAGTCTCTTAAGCAATCACAGGAAAGAATGTCAAGTAAATGTATAATAGAGAACAAATAAAAGGAATAGTAAAGGAAAATGCTCAAATGAGAAAAGCCTGGCATGTAATCACAACATTTGAAATGCTAAGACAGGAGGATTACCACAAATTCGAGGCCACTTTGGGCTACAGAGTGAGACACTGTCTCATAAAAAACCAACCAAAGAGGGAGGAGAACAAAGAACAGATGGGACAAATGCAAAATACTGAGATGTGCAGCCTAAACTTAGCAGTAATTACATTAGGTATACATGGACTAAATAATTGTGTTAAAGACAAAAGTTTTAAGATTGTCAGTGTGTATATTAGAGTGTGGGCCAAAGGCATGCTCCACTACACCTTGCCAAATCTCATTAATTTTAAAGAATTAAAGTCTTGTAGACTGTATTGCAAAATTAAGCAAAATGAGAAATAACAAAAAGATAATGTACAACTCCTCACGTTCATAAAATTACGCAGCACATTTCTAAGTGATTCACAAGTCAGAAGAAGTGGGAATTAGAAGGTAATTTTGAGCAACAATAAAAATAAAACGTACCAAACTTGAAGGAGGCAGCATAGCACTTTTCAGAAGAGAATTTCTACCTCTACACACATGTGAAAGGGGGAAAGATAAGCCAAGCATTAATGATCTATGGAAGCAAGAAGAAAAAAGTTATGAATTCAAATACAGAGATCTAATAAAAATATGAGAACTGAAGTTGGAGAAGAGGAAAGCAAATGTACAGTGGCAGTGAAACAAAAAGTGCAAAGCAGAGTGTGGTTTCCTCATTTAGGACAAAGAATCTACTATAAGCCTGTGGGGTAAGGTTGGTCATTTCATATGAACAGCATAGGATTCAAATTCTTGGGTGTCTTTTAGGTAAAATAAATAGCAGACCTTTACCTTTTATTTCACATTTAGTACAAAGAGCAATTGAGAGTTATCTATATGTAACATTGTAAAACAACAAAAGCTCAGTGTGTGTGTGTGTGTGTGTGTGTGTGTGTGTATTTGTATAGCTACACGTATTCAGCCATAAACAAAGAACCCCTGTCATTTGCGCCAAGTTGAGTAAAACTAGAGGGAAGTGTGTAGGTAAAATAAGCCAGACAGCAAAAAAAAAAAAAAAAAAAGCAGAAACAAAAACAAAACACATATTATCTCTCATGTGGAAGCGCAAGAGTTAATCTGAGCATAGAATAATAATTACTAGACATTGGGGTGGGGTAGATAACAAGTTCCAAAACAGAGACAGGGGAAGATCTACTGCTGACAGCACAGTAGGACAAGCACAAGCACATGTCACAAGAATATGTTTTAAGAAAAACTAGGAGAAGCTCCAAGGCTCCAAACTTAAATAAGGAGATAGAAATAGGGACTTATTGAATGCTTTATACATATGAAAATGACATACCATACTCCATTAATATGTGCCACCATTGCCTGGGTACCTTTATGGTCTTTTATGAAGATTTAAAAACTAAGACACAAAGGCAGTTTTTAGAAAAGTAATAGCAATAGGGGAAGCTGTTGCCTGGGGCAGGATATTTCTAATACCTACATACAACAAAAGGACTCATCTAGAATTTTTTGAGAATGATAATAAAGGAAAAGACTGAATACACTTTTAAGTGACCAAAAACCTAAACAGGAATTTTGTAAGTTTACTTATTCAAATAGAGAATAAGCACATGAACAGGGCTCAGAATAGTCACCAGAGAAATATTTATACCTCAGTAGGTACTGTCACCCCTAGTTAGGAAGACTGCATTGAACAAGACTGGCAGCTGGTGGGTAAGGATTTGGAATTAGAACTAGTACATTCCTAGCGGGAGGAAAATTACATTAATTTGAAAACCCATCTACTTTTGGACATAAACTCAAAGAAATTGAATGCTTATGTCTTCAAAAAGATTTTCTTTCCTTTATTCTGTCTTCAAAAAGACACACAGTACACATTTAAATTCAGAATGCTTAAATCTCTTAGTTAAAAAATGAATGTATGCTTATTTGAGAGAAAAATATGTCTGATAAGACAAAACAGGTACTGTTTTTTCATATGTATATGTGTATGTCTAGAATTTTGTCAAAAAATTGACTAAATATTATTTTACATTATTGTGTCAGAAAGTTGTGCAAAAGAGATGTTCTTAATATCTTTGGTTGATTTTTATTTTTCCCATGAGGGCTTAATGAAGAGGATTTTTAAAAAATGTATTTCAATCTATTCCTGTTGTTTGGCTGTCAGCCTCTTCAAGTGGTCCTGTGTTATTTTTATATTCAGTAATTACTTTTAAAACATATAACCACTAGATGTCACTGTAATTCAGGTAATGAAAAATTACCTCACCATTTTTAAATGTTTGAGACAATAACAGTTTCAGAAGGACTAGTTTAAATTCTTTATTTTGATAATGTTTGGTTAAAATTGGATTTATTATTATCAAGACTTTGGAATTTTGGTATATTATGTTCTTTTAAGGTTAAAGTGTTAAGTTTGATTATTTTGAAGTAAAACAAATATTTGGGTAGGTCATTGTTTTACTATAAAATATTTTGAATGAAGTAGATTATTTCACACTGCTAGATGATACTATTTTTAGTCCCTCTCTTTTTTTGTATAAACCTGTTTCTTCTGATCACCCTTCAAGGTTCAGCCTGGAGAGGGAAATAAAGCTTCCTTCAATGACATGCGAGCTTTATCTGGAGGTGAACGTTCTTTCTCCACAGTCTGCTTCATTCTTTCCCTCTGGTCCATTGCTGAATCTCCTTTCAGATGCCTGGATGAGTTTGATGTCTACATGGTATTGTTATAGATTAAGTTCGCTAATTTTAATTTGTTTGAAACATTTAAAAAATTTTACAAAAAAAATTTTATATTTTTATTTTATGTGTATGTGTGTGTTGCCTGCATGTAGTAAGTGCACCCGTGTCATGCATTTTGAAAGGAAGAGTCTTCTCTTTCTCCGTAATTAATAGGAAAGGAAAGATTCTGCCCACTACTATAGTCTGTGATGTTAGTGGTGAGGAAGACCCTAGGGTTCGCAATTCTCTGCCTGATTACTGTGTAGTCCTGCAGAGACCCCACCTTACTTTTCAGCTCTTTGTTTCTATCACGTACATCTTGACTGTCCATCTGATAGGCTATCTCTCCTTGGGCTTATTTCCATCAACCTAGACACATGATGAGGCATTTAAATCTTAACACAGCTTTTGCTGACTGTACTTGCTGGGGATCCCTTGATTTATAGCCATACCTTTCAAAAGAAAAGATGTAAAAGCATTTGACTTTGAGGTTAATCAGTAGGCCTTAACATATGGGACAGAATACATGAAATCCTGTGGGCGGGCTATGGAGGAGTACAGATAGGGATGGGTCTAAATATGTTTGAGATATATGAAATGCAAAAATATATATATTATTTTGTTTTTCAAATATACTTTGAAAAACAAAATAAAACCTCATTATAAAAAAAGAAACTAAACATTTTGAAACCTACTTTTGCCAATTACAGCTTAGACAAAATATTTATCCTTTAGGGGTCTCAGTTTCTTTGTATATTAGGAAACAGTATTCCCTACCTTATTGTGTTACAGTGAAGTCCTGTGTAGAGCACGCACCTTCCTTGTGGTTCCACATGCTGTAGTCTGTGTTGAGACAATACTACAGCAACACTTGCTTAGCAGGGGTCCCAAGTGGCTAGGTCTTTCCGTATTAGAATTCCTGGCCCCATAAACCTATCCTCCCTTGGAATGTTGTCTTCCTAGCTTCTACACTCGTTTCTGGTTTCACTTTTACTGTGTTCTCTCTTTTTAGTCTGCCAAACTGCCTGTTTCTTATGCCACTGTTTGAGGTTTTCTTTGTTTGATACACTGTTTTGATTTTTCTCTGGTCACATGTGTATAGAAATAACAAACCTTATTCCCCTCCCTTCCTAGCCTATATAGGCTCCAAAGCTTCTACCTGCTTACAGACATCCGAGGTCTGTCAACCTGACTTCTCTCTTGTGCCTGTGTGCCCCACTGTCCATTAGATCATTTAGTAAATAGCCAGCATTCCAAACTCTGAGCATGTCATCGTTGACTGACCATCTCTTCCTGTCAAAGCATTTTTCTTTCCAAAATTTCTTGCATTGTTAGTGACAATTCATCATTATCAACCCAGTTGTATAACTTCAAAACCTGTGATTTATCTGAATCTTTCTTTCCTTTTACTTACACACTGCCTGACCTTTCTGCTCCTCTGAATTTTCTACCCTCGTCTCCCTTTTCACTGTGGTTTTGCTTCCTCTTGTCCTTTGTACCTCCTGCCTGTTGTGATAACCTCTTGCCTAGACTCCCAGACTTGTATGTTGCAAGTTTCTTCAGCCAATTTGCCACATTTTTTAGAGTTTTCATTTGTAAAATAAACCTGATTGTGGCCACTCACTCTCTTATAACCTCTAAGTAGCTACATATAACAAATGAGTATTTAATTTTGTGAGGCTTTTCAAGATGTATCTGCCAACTTTTACATCTGCACTAAGCAATTTGTAATTTTCCAAGTGTAGTCCTCCTGCTGAGTGTGCTCTTTCACTATGTATCAGACTCCGCTTATCTTTTGATACATGACTGGATATCCCTTTTTTGAAGTCCCTTTATGACTGCTGTACTTTTTAAACATTGAGAAACTTGATAAATTTGGAATTGGGCACATACTTTGTCATTACCCTGAGTAGTTAACTAGTAGTATACTAACTAGATTCATTCTGTAATTTTGTCATTTGTGTATTTTCTTACTATTTTAATTGCTACTCAGAGAGTAGGGGCCATGACACAGATGTTCTGACAGTAAAAATAACTTGGAAGGTATATTTATTCAGTTACTTTTCCCTTAGAGTTTCTGGTGTTGTCTTTCCATAGGTGAATCACTTGGCATCATATATAAAGTAATTGATGAAAATCCAGGAGTCTGTATCAGTCAGTGCAATACTATTTTTGTGGAAATAATTAATTCAAAAACAATCCTAACTTTTGTCCTTGTCCTTCAGGATATGGTTAATAGGAGAATTGCGATGGACATGATACTTAAAATGGCAGATTCCCAACGTTTTAGACAATTTATCTTGCTTACTCCTCAAAGCATGAGGTAACTCTTTAAAACTTCTTTTGAACACACACACACACACACACACACACACACATACACACACACACACACAGAGCATGTAAAAAGGGCAAAGAAATCTTCCATAATTTTAATTTTTAAGACAGAAATGCAAAGCTGACGATGGTTGGAGGGTGATTACCTCCTCTCCTTGCTCAGGAGGTTTTAGATGACTTATGTTTAAATTTTTATTCATGTCATTTTTCTTCCTCAACTAAAGCAAGTTGATGAGAATATAATTTTGACTTGCTTATATTTACCTTTGAATTTGCTACTTTGTGGTTATCCTGACCAAATAGTACAAAGTAATTTTAGTAATTCTGTGTAAAACAAAGGAACAATTCATTATTTTCTTCTTGATTCTTTCCCTGGTTACTGATTGTCACATAGACTTGATATTCTGTCTCTAAAGTGGTCCTGTGATGATGAGGGGATTTAATCTTGTGATTAGACAAAAACAAGAGTTTAAAACAGCTGACATATACTCTTTATTTTCTTTATCCCAATTGAAAATGCATAGAATCTAGCAGAAAGTTAATTTTCTTAAATGAAAACAAACTTTTATTACAAATTATATTTCCCCTGGAACTCTTGATATTAAACTCCTCATTATCAAAAAGATGCCATTTAGATTTATATTTTCTTATACTAGTATTATTATATTTCTCCTGGAACTCTTGATATTAAACTCCTCATTATCAAAAAGATGCCATTTAGATTTATATTTTCTTATACTAGTATTAGAATTTTTTTATTGATTGATTATATTGTTGAGGAGTGAACCTAGGTGAGCATCTAATGGATAAAAACTTTATTGAAAATTTGAATAATTTTGCTTCCTCTAGCTCACTTCCTTCAAGTAAACTGATTAGAATTCTTCGAATGTCTGATCCTGAAAGAGGGCAAACAACACTGCCTTTCCGACCTGTGACTCAAGAAGAAGATGACAACCAAAGTCGATAATCTAATACATCCTGTTCTCATGTTGAAATATTTGTGAGAGGAGAAAAATCTGGACTGTTGGATGAGAAAAAATTGATACGAGATATTCTAAAAGAAGCTCCTTACATCTGACCACCATAAATTGTAAATAAGCCTAGAAAGCCAGCTGCAACCAACAATTTAAAATTGCTATTACTTTGTGAAAAGTAATTTCATAATACTGGTTTTAAATCTTTTTGTTTGCTTTGGAGTTTCTGTGTTTTCTTTGTTTTTACCATCTACTTTTATAAATTTTTTCAGAAGTAAAATTTTGTACATATGCACATGTACATATCTGTTTAGTTTGGGTTCATTTCTATAGTATTTTATAAGAATTAAAATAAAAGTTTGAGCACCCAGTGTTTAGTTTTACATTTCCAGATTGTTACGGTCTATAGTTTTAACAAATTACAAATGTCTAAAAGGACGGCTTTCTCATTGTGGAATAGGGCAATGCAATATGGTGATGGTAGGCTGTGAACAAGAACTGGCTTATAGTGAGCAAACTTATTTTTAAGTTTTAAAGACCTATATAAGACTGCATATATATTGGGCAAGAATTTTCACTGCCAGTTAATTTTTAGCCCTAGGGGTGCAACTATAGATTTTGGGCTATAATTTTTAATGATTGCCTTTTATAAATTTTAAGACGCTCTCTATAAGACCCTTGTGTGTGGCACTGAAACTCTACCAATCTTGATAATGCTTTTTCTGTAGTGCTTTAACTGTTTTCTATCAAGGAAGAGCCTGTATTAGGACTGAGTGATGAGACAGTTTTCACTTAGACCTGTAGCATCCTGGCCTAGTTTAAAGGTTTTTGGTGGTGCAGGCCTGTTGTCCCAGACATAAGGGAGGCTGATGCAGGAGATCACAAGTTCTAGGCTAGCCAGGGAAGCTTAGCTGCTGTCTTCAAAGTAAAAGTGAAAATGAAGGCTGGGAAGACTGGGAGGTAGGTGCTTCTTGTGGGACAGAGTACCTTGTGAATATATGAGTCAAAATCGGTATTTGATTATGAGCTGACATGAGACATATCCTGATCTTAGAGACATTAAACATTAATGCTTCTATAATGATCAAACATAGTTTATTGTAAACATTGGTATTTGTGAATTTTTTTGAAAAGAACTTGAATAGGACTAGTGCCTATATTCTCTGTTTGATACTAAGATTTAAAAAAAAATTGAACAGCAACAAGAAGCATTCCTTGTGTTACCAGCAATAAAAATCAGAATACATATTTATGAATTAAAAAGGAAGTATTTTAAGAAAAGTACTATTTTTAAAAGCAAGGATACTTCTATAGTTATTAAGAACTGAATTTTGTGTTAGTGGGGAAGAGTCTAGTCTTAAAATAGTTGCAAAAAATCCAAAAACATGCTTTCTAGTCTAAGAATCAGAAAGGCGAAACTGAATGTTTTAAACATACCCCACTGACCAGTCAGTATTACCCATTTGTATCTAAACTATTTTAACTTTCATAAACTTTTTCAAATAAAAAAAAATGAAGTGGAATTTACCAATGCAATAGATTTTATTAGCTAAGGATTTCAGTGTCTTGGGTTTTTGTGGCAATTTTAAGTGTTCTTAACACAAAATGGGAAATCTCCTGTTGAAGATTATTCATTGCTTTGACCTCAGTAAGTTTTGGTTTCAAGCGTAAGTGAAATGTCTTCATCTAATGTTCTAGTAGTGGTAATAGCAATTGGAAAATAAAAAGAAAATGTTCTTTAAAATTTGTGTAACCTCCAAAAATAAAGGTTAAAATTCATATGTATTAAGGCCATGCTTTTGTGAATTGGGACAAGTAATATTTGACTAACTTGGGCCTCTTCATGAACAGTGATTTACATATGTCATTCAAGTGACTTTGGTCCCTAGAAAGAAGTCCCAAGAAAGGGAAAAAGACTTTCTTTGGATCTTAAATCCTCCTGATTCAGTTATTTTCTCTGAAAATGAAAAGAATCATTCTCAAAATGACAGGTGTAGTTAGTTTTAGTAAGCCAAAATATAAGTAATGCAGTTACTGAAATAAATGAGCAGCATGACTGAGGCCTTGTTTTAAATATTTTCCAAGTTCTCATTTCTCCCATTCCCTTATGTGTGTGTGTGTGTGTGTGTGTGTGTGTGTGTGTGTGTGTGTATGGGAGGGCATGTCTGTAAGATGCTTGGAATATTTATATATGGAGACAAATGCTTAAATTCTGTGGAGAACCAGCTCTTGAATTGAACCAGAAGTGCTGTAATGAAAACGATGTGACCCGAAAAAAAGTTCTGAAGGATCAGGAGTTCAGATACTGCTGCAAAGCAAAAAAAAAACAAACAAACAAACAAAGTTTTTGAGTACAAAGATGTAGAACTAAAGAGTAAGTGTAGGAATAAGTTTTCATAATCTCCCGAGGCAATATTTATAATTCCCTTATGAACATTTACATAGCTACTGCTATAGTGTAGAACTGAAATGCACCCCCCCCCTCCAAGTTCCATGTGTTAAATGCTTGGTTTTCGGCGTGTAGTGTCACTGGGAGGTAGTGGAACCTTCAGATGTGGCTTGCGGGAAGAAGTTACGTCGTTGGGGATATGTCCTTGAAGCTAGATTTGGTTCTTTCTGAGGTAACCACTGAGACATTGTCCAGATAAGGAAAGAAGGTAGTAAGGATCCGTTTGCTGGGGTGTAGCTGCTTTAGTGAAACTCAGTGGCAGAGTGGTGAAGTAAATACCACAGCTCATGGACTTCAGCATTACTCCACGTAGTACTTTGTTTCCCCTTTACTCTCTAGCAGGTTATATATGTTGCAACAATGACCATCATAGTAAATCTCTCCCATGCTCCAGAACCTTCCTTTGTGGAGTCTCTCCTTGATCTGGGCAGATTGTGGTTCACCTGTAACTAATGGAATCCAGTAGAAACAACTGATTTCCAAGGCTAGATCTGAATGGGCAATGAAAAATGAAACTCCTGCCTTATCTCTGGAATACTCATAGGCTTCTAAGTGGATCCCCCATCCTCCATCAAAGCAAGCTACTTTTCTCAAGGCTGCCACAAAACGAGGAAACTGAAATTGCCCACTTGGAGAAGCCTTGACACCAGCAAAAGGGATTGCTGCCTGCAGCTGTTAAAAGCCTCCTGCGTCTCATTGTCTCAACTGTAGGAGATTACAAGCCAGAACAACCTGAATGAGTTATTGGAATTAATGGCCCACAAAAGGGACAAGAAGACAAGTTTATGTCATTAAAGTTTGGAGTAGTTTATAGCAAAAGGAACAGATTTTGGTAGCTGGAAGTAGATGTTCTAAAATAAAACTAAATCTAAACAACATACTGAATAGATGTCACAAGTCTAAATGCCCTGTCAAAGCTATTGGCAGAAGTCTAGTCATGGATGGATGCTTTTTGGTCGGGGCTAAAGGAAATTGAATTGGAGGTGCCAAGGCTAGATCCTCCTTTCATAATGGGAAGCTCAGCAACACCCATACATGGTAACATGGGAAATGAAAATGGATACAATGAACTAGAAGATCTAGACAGGTGAAAGGTACACTCTGGCTACTTACTGTTGGCCTGTAACAAAATGTGAGGGCAACAAGATAACAAGCAAGGACTTCTAAGGGGTCCAAGACTGTCTCATTCCTCTCTTCCTCTTGGCAACTACTTTTCAAATTAGAAAAAAGCTGTCTTCTAAGGATTTTGTTCAATAGCAATCTCACAGCCTCTTCCAAACCAATGGAGTTTATTAATTGATACACAACAAAGTTCTTTAAAAAGAATTGTATCTGCTTAAAGTCTTTGTACTCCTAAGATTTTATTTTTAGACAATAGGTCTGAGTCTTCATCAGAAACTTGCAAGATACACCCAGCTGGACATTAGAGTTGCTATGGATTGGAAAAGTTGTGTGAAGGGGACAATTTTCATTTTGTTCTGGGGCCTTTGGGCAAGAAGAATGGTACTCAGTGACTACCTGAGGAGTCACTTCTGAGGAGCCTTTAGGTGACGTATTGAGCCTCAAGCCTGACACCAAAGTCATTGTGGCTTGAAAGTTTTACAGATTCCTGAACACTTTTTACATGTGACCTAGTATGTGAGCTGTGGCCACAAGTTAGGCTGGCATGTTGTATTCTGAAGATGAGGGCAATATCTCATGATGTATACTCAAGCACTGTGCTTTACTCCAAGAGATGGTCTAATTCTCTTCTTGAACAAGAATAGAATATGACTTTCTTGTATCCAGTATATCACTGTGAAAGTGATATAGAAAAGATGGTGAAACTTTCTGTTTCATAGGATAGTTGTTCTGGAGCCCTTGATCACTTTGTGAGTAGTGTTAACTGTTGTGAGTGAGGCTGCCGTGTAAAGAAGCTCTTGAGAAGCCCTGACGGTCTCAGTCAGGTCAGAGTGCCTCCAGGCCCATTTCTACCCCAGCTACCAAATAACTGCAGGTGCAGTACACACTCCAAGTTGGTGTCTGCCAGCTGAATACTTCACAAATGAGAAATGATAAAATGATTGCTTCTATCTCAAGCTACTAGGTTTGGAAGTTGAGTTGTTATAGAGCAATAGTAGCTAAACCACCTCCACTACCACCCACATTTTATCTTCTGTGACTTAGTAGTCCTTTTGTAAGAACCTAGTTTTCATTTGTATATTTACTACACCGTACAATAGGTTTTATTCTTTTCTTCCACTCATTCTTTTAAGACATTTGTCCATATTGCACACACCCCATTCTATTGTTTCCCAACAAGTCTGCCAACCAGGGCCATTCTCTGTATTCTACTTACCGGTTTCTCTAATGATGAACCATTAGGCAGACAGTAGTAGCCACATCACAAACAACCATCACAGATGTCCTGTGACATGTTCTCATAGGGCCTTCTGTGAGTGATTCTTGGGGCAATGTGCTCAACAATGGAAATGCAAGCGGAGAGGGCACATGCAACTTCTCTCCAGCGTCAACCGTGCCAGTCACTTTTCACTACCACAATAGTGAGGACTAAAGCAAACAAATGAGGTTTTCAATGTTGGCCCAGCATTTTCATTTTCCTTACAGAAAGTGAGCCTGCAGGAGGATTTAATTCCCTAAGTTCCTGATATTTTCCTTCCTTTCTTCCAGTCCTGCATGGTCTTACTTCAAATGTCACCTCCCCATTTCACTGGACAGAGTCACTGCCACATCCCTTCTGTCTTACATTGTGCTTTAAAAAAAAAAATTATTCCTATTTTATGTGTTTGGGTGTATTGCCTGCACATGTGTAAATGCACCCATGTCATGCATTGCCCGAGGTCAGAAGAGATTGTTGAATCCCCTGGAACTGGAGTTACAGACAGTCATTAGCTGTCAGGTGGGTGCTGGGAATCAAACCCAGGTCCTCTGGAAGAGCAGCCAGTGCTCTTAATCTCTGAACTATTTCTCCAGCCCCCACATTGAGCCTTAATATTTCTTGGAATTTGACATTTGTGAGTATATTTGCTTGGCTGCCTGCACACACACAAGAATAGTGTTGGGTGCATAATAGGTGGTCAGCAGATATTTGGTATGATCAGAGCCTAGTGTAACCAGATGACATCTCCAGTTTACCCACTCTGACCTTACTAAGTGAAGGAGGTGTGGAAACTCCCAGATCTCTCTCTCCCTGCCTATGCTTTGACCTCAGCACAGTGGTTACGGTCACCTGAACATTTTATTTGTGCATGGAACTGTCCACTCTCGGGGGACAATTTAGGTACCTTGGTGTCCCATGTAGTTAGCTTGGCGTGATCACAATCTCTTGTAAAGTGGATGGATGAAATCATTATGCCCTGGTTTCTAGTGTCATTTAGTGATCCTAAGACAAGGAAAATCACTTAGGGACAAAAGGCACACAATTAAAAAATGCTAAATGAAGAAATAGTTTTGCACAGCCTGATAAAATAGCTACTAGCTCCACACAACAGACTATTTAAATTTTTTAAAATTTATGGGTCTCTGTGTATATATGCCACATACATGTATGCAGAGGCCAAAAGAGGGTCCCCTGGAGTAGGAGTTACAGGAAGTTGTGAGCCACCTGACGTGGGTGGTAGAAACAGAGCTTAGGTCCTCTGCAAGAGTAGCAACTGTTATTAACCCCCGAGCCATCTCTCCAGCTCCCATAACAAATTATTTTAATTAAAAATTAGTTCTTGGGTTGCACTAGCCTGAAGTGTTTCCTAGCCACAGGCAGTGAAGATACAGTGCTTTCCATCATGGGACACAAGTGGACAGGACTGTGAAGAAATGGAGCTCCGGGTATAGTCTGAAAATACCAACCTGTTTTAGAGTACTTGATATTTTTCCTCAAGGTCAAAAGGTCAATTTTGTTCTATCATTAAAAATCAAAGCTAGCAAGCTTTTTATTTCTCTCTACTGACTTTTCTGGAGCACACCACTCAGCCCACTAAGTGCATTTCCACAGAGTCCTGTAGAACACAATATGTTCTTAGCACCAAAGTCACACTGAGATAGTTTATTGTCATATAATGAGAATTTTTTTTTCCAGAATGAATACGTCTTCTGTTTTCTTTAAATATTACATGCCATATTATTTGTCCTTCTTTGGGGGAGAGGGCTGGATAAGAATTAGAAAGTGACTTTTTCCCTTTTGTTGTCTGTCATTCGTTCTTCAGATTCCAAAGTTTAAGGGTAGATTTAGAGAGTCATTGCCAGCAGGCCCCAGACTATTATGAATACCAAACTGAAAATTATAAAATAAGAATTAGGGAAGTAAATCAAATGTTAGAAATTTATTTAGGACATCTGTTGCCACCTTTCTGGAAGCCTTTGAAAAGTCAAGCAGAAATCAATATAGTTTCATCATTACAATTTTTACTTTCAATAAATATCTTTGTTCTATTATATATAGATAGATATGCTTAATTAATGAATCATTTAGCAGGATTTTTAAGTTTATACTGCATTCATCCAAAACAGCTCTTTCCAGATTGAGAGGATGCAAATGAGGTAAGAATTAAGGCAAACCCAAAAGGCATGCAAATGTACTACATTTATATTCATTGATAATACAAGCTCTTGTGTGGGGACCAGACAGGGAAGCCAAGGGCCCCTCCTGTATGTCTGACCAGTACTATTTTACAGGAGAATGGTGACACAGCCCATAATTAAGTTACATTATCATGGGGATCTCAGTGCTACTAACATTATGTAATCAAGGAGACACAAGCATTAGCAAAACACGTACAAGAAATCATAGAACTCTTTGCAGCATGTTTCTGCCCAGGCTTTGGAGGAGGGTGTTTTTTAATGAAATGATATTACACATCTCACATTGTGGTAGGTTGTTGGTTTTGTTTTATAATATGTACTTTTAAAATTCATTAGCAAATGACATTCTCATGCACACAAGTGTTTCAAACACAAGAAGCAAGTCCATTTATAGGTAGTCCAAGCAATTTGTGTGTGTGTGGGGGTGTGTGTGTGTGTGTGCGTGTGTATAGCTGCAGACTGAGTGGAACATCAAGACTTCTGTGTAGTCCATAGCATTGACATCAGCTCATTTCTGAATGTCGCACTGCAGAAGTAATACGATGGAAGGATCGCTCTTTGCAGCTTCTTTGAATTCATCCAGTGTAATCTGGTCATCTTTGTTCTTATCCATCTTGCTGAAAATCTTGTCCACTCGCTGCTCAGGCGTGAGGCCATCCTCATTCATTTTCATCATGATCACGGTGCCCACCATTTTGTAGATAGCCTTGGGAAAAAGAACACAGTAGATGATATTACCAGTAACTCGGGAAGCCAGAGCACTCTTATGCTGCCTTCACCTGATTGGATCCCATTTGTTCCTCAAAGCTTAGTTCCTTTCCCCATAGAAGGCTTGCTTTCTGTGCTTCCCATGACAACCGCTGTGGGGTCTCTTCCCTCCCCTTGTGGGTCGTTGGCCACCGACCCACGATGACAAAGGGAGCAGAAGCAACGAACAGGGTCAGGATGGCCAGTGAGCACTGATGGAAGAAAGCCCTTCTGGGGAGGCAGATTAGTGAAACAAACAGCTCCAGACTCAGTGAAACAGCTCGGTTTATTCAGTGGGGGTCAGGGAAAATATAGTGTGGAGGCAGCAGCCAATGCTTCAGCTGATAGGTGCTCATAGTATGCTTTATTTACATGTGGCAGTAGGCTCCTATCATCTGACTATGGGGCAATGCCTAATTTTCATATAGAAAAAACCTGGGGGTAGTTTTTACTACAGATAACTATAGGAAAGGACATGTTCCAAATAAGGTCAGGCATCCGTGCTTGGAGGCCCTTTCCAGGTAAGTCAGGCAGAGAGCAGGAGGCCCCCGCTGAGAAAGGGAGTCCTTCCATATAGCACTGAGCCCCTTAGAGCTATCCGGACATGGAGGACTACAACCCTAGCAGCAGGGTCCCCCAACAAACCGCTACCTCCTTCACCAATGTAGTATAATGCACACTTATTATTATAACTGCTTTGTCATCCCTACCCAAGAGTACATTCCATGAAACTAGGAATCGTGTCTTTCTCACTTCTTCAGGACTTGCCACTACGCCTGCCACATAGTAGGGATTCAAAAACAATTGGATAAAACAAATCCATTGAATTTGTTGGAACATGGGATGTGAAGTAAGGAGGCACCAGGAAAAAGGACCAAGTAGGGTGCTGGTGAAGGATGAAACTACAGGGAAGGAAGCAAAAGGCAGATATGAAGGGAATAAAGGAATCCTTAACTAGTTTTCAATGAGATAGTGATATAACCAAATATGTGTGAGTCTTGAGGCCAATTAGAAGAATTTGAGATGATTATCAGGTTTCTGGCTGAAGTAGAAAAAGTCACTCAATGGTGAGATGAAGGACCACAGAGTAAGAACAGATCCAAGGAGGAGAATGACATGTTGGATGTCAGATACTGTGAGTTTCACACAGGGATGACAGTCAACAAACACTGGCTTTGGAAATTTGGGGAAATATTACCCTTATTGCTAAGGTGCTTACACTCTATTAAGACAGGTATACCATTGAAATTGAGCTCAGAAAGAAGTTAGTTTAGGGAGACCTATAGATTAACTTCAACTTAGGTCAAAGAATTCTCCAGGTCAACTGATGATCCATAATATCAATATGTGTGACTCCAATTGCAGCTGCTGTACCAGATGTAGCTTCCTTACTTGAGCAGATTAATACATCTGGGTACCTGGTATGCAACTATTGATTTGGCAAATGCTTTCTTCTCAATACCAGTTTATAAAGACAACCAGAAGCAATTTGTTTTCAGCTGGCAAGGCCAAGAGTATACTGTCCTGCCTCAAGGGTATATTAACTCCAGCCTTGTGCCATAACTTGCTTCAAAGAGATCTTGATCGTCTGACTCTTCCACAAAATAGCACACTGGTTCACTGTATTGATGGCATTATGCTGATTGGATCCATTAAGCAGGAGGTAGCAAACAGTCTGGACTTGGTAAAGCATATATGCATGAGAAGACGGGAAATAAATCCAACCAAAATTCAAGGGCCTTCTACCTCAGTGAAATTTCTAGGAGTTCAGTGGTGTGGATCATGCAGAGACTTTCCTTGTAAAGTGAAAAATAAGTTGTTGCACTTGGCTCTTACCTCCACCAAGAAAGAAGCACAACACTTAGTGGGCCTCTTTGGATTCTGGAGGCAGCACATTCCTCATCTGGGTATGTTACTACGACCCATATATCAAGTGACTCAGAAGGTAGCTGCCTTTGAGTGGGGCCTGGAACAGGAAAGGGCCCGTCAACACATCCAGGCTGCTGTACAAGCTGCTCGGCCCCTTGGTCCGTATGCTCCAGCTGATCCGATGATGCTTGAGGTATTAGTGGCAGATAGAGATGCTGTTTGGAGTCTGGCAGGTCTCCATAGGGAAATCTCAGCAGAGGCCATTGGGATTTTGTCTTCATCTGCAGACAACTATTCTCCCTTTGAGAGACAGCTCTTAGCCTGCTATTGGGCCTTAGTGGAAACTGAACGTTTGACAATGGGCCACCAAGTCACCATGTGACTGGAGCTTCCCATCATGAGATGGGTGTTATCTGACCCCACCCCCCCCAAGCCATAAAGTAGGACATGCACAGCAACAATCCATCATCAAATGGAAGTGGTATATACATGATCGGGCCCAAGCAGGCCTGGAGGACACAAGCAAGCTACATGAAGAAGTTGCCCAAATGCCTATGGCTCCTACTCCTGTTACAATGCCTCCTGTTCTCAAGCATGCACCTATGGCTTCATGGGGTCTGCCCTAAATCGGTTGACTGAGATAGAGAAGACTAGGGCTTGGTTTACAGACGGTTCTGCACGCTATGCAGGCACCACTCAGAAGTGGACAGCTGCGGCATTACAGTCAATTTCTGGAACAACTCTGAAAGACACTGAGGAAGGAAAGTCTTCACAGTGGGCAGAACTTTGGGCCATGCTCATGGTTGTGCATTTTGCTTGGAAGGAGAAATGACCAGAAGTGTGATTATATTCTGATTCATGGGCTGTGGCCAATGGTTTGGCTAGATGGACAGGGACTTGGAAGGAGCATGCCATAGTGTGCAGCATGTGGGGTCCATTATCGAGTAGAATTATAGGGAAATCCTTCTTCCCCAACCATATTCATAGCGCCTTCTGGCACTATGAACATCATCCATCCAGTGGCATGGCGTTTTTGGCTCCATCTTTTCTTTTCCTCCTGTGCTTACATCATGCAGTGTCTTCAGCAACATGGCCTTGCCGACGACTTTTTTTTTTTTTTTAAAAAAAACTTTATTGAGAATTTCATACATACATAAAATGTGTTTTGATCAAATCAATGCCCACTTACTCCCCTCTAACATTCCCCCCTCTGAAGAGGTAACCCTAAAATCTTTTAAGGATTAGATACAAGCTCCAAACTACTTTTGACATTTTTGGCCTTGGAAAAGAGTATGTTGCTAACAGGTGGAAGGACATATCCATGTTTAGCCAAGCAACTGGCTACATTTCTTTGGGATATTTTTAATCCTAATTGCCTACCCAATTCCTACCTCCTATTCTTATCACGCCATCTTCTGAAGTGGACCTGCACTTAAGGCTTCTGCCAAAACTACCATCCAGGGACTTACAGAATGCCTTATGGTATTCTGCACAGCATCGCTTCTGACCAGGGAACTCACTTCACAGCCAAAGAAATGCGACAGTGGGCCCATGGTCATGGAATCCACTGGTCTTACCATGTTCCCCATCATCCTGAAGCAGCTAGCTTGATCGAGCAATGGAATGGCCTCTTAAAGACACAGTTATAGCACCAATTAGGTGGTAATAGCTTGGAGGGCTGGGGTGGGGTCGCCCAGAAGGCAGTATATGCTTTGAATCAGCATCCAATATATGGCACTGTTTCTCCTATAGCCAGGATTCATGGGTCCAGGAATCAAGGGATGGAAGTAGGAATGATTCCACTCCCTATCACCCCTAGTGACCCACTAGGAAAATTTTTGCTTCCTATACCCCCGACTTTGCACTCTGCTGGCTTAGAAGTTTTGGTTCCAGAGGAGGGAGTACTTCTGTCAGGAGACACAAGAAACATTCCATTGAACTGGAAGCTAAGACTTCCCCATGGCCACTTTGGGCTTCTGATGCCCTTAAGTCAGCAGGCTAAGAAAGGAATAACAGTATTAGGAGGGGTGATTGACCCAGACTACCGGGGGGGGGAAGTTGGACTGGTTCTCCACAATGGAGGTAATGAAGATTATTTCTGGACAGCAGGAGATTCCTTAGGGCAACTTTTGGTGTTACCATGTCCTGAGATTAAGGTCAATGGGAAACTGTAGCAACCCAATCAAGACAGAACAACAAATGGCCCAGACCCTTCAGGGATGAAAGCATGGGTCACTCCTCCAAGGAAAGAGCCAAGACCTGCAGAGGTGCTTGCTGATGGTGGAGGAAATACAGAATGGGTAGTAGAGGAAGGTAGTTACAAATATCAAATTGGGCCATGTTACCAGTTGCAGAGACATGGATTGTAATTGACACAAGTGTTTTTGTGCTATTTGGTTAAGAATAGGCTTGTGCATATAAACACATATGTTAAGCAGATACTTGTGTTGTTCTTTTTTTGAATGTGTAATTGAGATAATTGTTAAGTGGTTAAGTGTTGTGAACCTATATGATTATATTAGGTTAGGGGCATTTTCTTGATTGCTAGTTGATATGGGAGGGCTCAGCACACTGCACGTCGTGCTGCTTCTGGACAGGAGTGCCTGGGCTGTGTAAGAAATGTGGCTGAGTTCCTGTTCTATCTTCCCTTAAAGATGGACTGTGACCTGTAAGATGAAATAAACTCTTTCTTCAAGTTGTTTTGGTCATGGTGTCTGTGATGGCTAATCCTGGGCATCAACTTGACTGGACCTGGGATTAACTGAAATGAGAGAGATCTTCTTGATTGGGTCATCTGAAGCTGGAAGACACACCCTAAATGTGGGTGTTACTTTCTGATGGCAGCCAGTATAAAAGGCCATGGCAGAGGAGAGTGCTTGCTTTTGCCACTTGCCTTCTCTCTTGCTGGTGAGTTCATCTTGCTGCTGTAGACCGAGGACTTGCTGATCTTTTAGAATTTATCAGACCTTCAGCACCAGATTGGGACTACTGAGACATCCAGCCCAATGGACTGAGCGACTACTGGATTCTCAACCTCTCCAGTGTGGTGCAGCCATTGTTGGACTGAATACTTGGACTCAATCCTGTGAG